GGGAAACCACATATTTATCCCCACTCAGTGATCAATCACATTTTACTCTCACCACTACACACCAACGCTTGTGTAAATATTAACGAATTCAAGTAAAACAGTTGCGCATTACCATAATATTCAGTGGGTTTTCTTATACCTTGTATCAGTTTATGTTGAAAGTGATTAACCTTCTATTCATAAAACTAATTGAGTCGGCAATACACCTGATTACAGTTAACATCAATGTTGTAATGATTTAGATTGGATGAAGACAATTTTCTTCATATATAAATGAATATATCCATTAAATGAATGCCAAATAGAATGAAACCCAAGTTTAAGGCATGTACCAATTAAATTCAATTATTTAAACCCAGAGAGTATTAAAAGTATTGAAGAATTCTTATTCTGACGGTAGCTACATATGTGACAATCTCCTAGTACTAATGTGACCCGCTCATATTTAAAGAATCTGTTGAGAATAGACAATGTTACAAACCATTATTCTAGTTTGTTTTCATCATTTTACCTAACACATAACTGTTTGATCGATCTGATTAAATTAATATAAAATTTCAGTTTTTTTCTGATATTTAACAAGTTATGTATGATAAATTTTTCAGATCACAAGTCAGGGTCATATATGACTGAACATGTCCAACTGAAACTATTATTAAAGCATTAAATACAATTAATCAGTCAGTTGTTCGTTCAACCTAATTAATCATGATTTAAACTAGAATAAGCGTAGAATCTTAGACAGAACGCTAATGTGACAAAATGAGAACAGATGTACATCAGTGATTCATACATTTTCACGAGCAGTTTCAGTGACGACGACAACAACAACAACAGTTGACCATTGAAAGCTCAAATGTGGTAATAGTAGTTGAGCATTATTGTTCGGTCGATTAAAACGTTCAGAAAGGAATCAGAGATCTGGTCGTTTGACTTTGATGGTAACCTTAATCTATTTTTCTAGCCATCCATTTGAAATACTAAAACTATTACATTTGGCTGAATGTTAGTCTAAAAACAGGATATATTTAGCTTATTTGATATTTATTATCAAGCTGTACAATCGTATATAAATATGTGAAAATTCTTTGTCAATGTACTAGTTCCGTGAGGATATATGAACAAAGAATAAATATGATGATGTTATAGATAGATTGTAATAGTAGATGTAACATGAATAATAACAATAAGAAATCGTGTGTATGTAAATAGAAAGCTTTGTAAACTTATTATTTTACAAGGCTTTCTATTTGCATACACAATCTTATTTTTATCATTCATATTACGTAATCTAGATAATAATTTTTTCAATAGATTGTAACACAGTACATTGCAATGGTTTTTATTGATTGATTGATTGATATATACATGTAGATATCAGTATGGGGTTATGGAGATTGTTGAGTTTTTGATTGAGATCATGAATTGATCAATGTTAGACCACCATCGAAAACCTGGGAGCACTGGATTTCTGTTTCGTCCTAGTACGGGACTCCTCAGCATTGGGCATTCACGATCCCAAACGCGAGATTCTAGCCCAGGACCCTCGGTCTCGCGTGTGAACGCTTAACCTCTAGACCATTGGGCCGGCATAGATGTAGATTCGTTGGATACTGATCACAAAACAAATTTTAAGTTCATGTACGTCGCATTGAAAACAAATAAGTAAACCACATTATTTAGAAAATATGACTTCAGACGGTAACTGAAATATGTAGAAGTATATTACTAAGTTATTGATATTTTATTGTTTTGTTTCATTCAATTTATTCGTAAATTAATTAACTACATCTTTGATAACACAATGGAAGAATAACCATAAAACGAAATTCCATACATGATTGTCTTAATAAACGGAACAAATACAGAAACGTTTGAATTAGAAGTGTACAAGAAGTCACGCTGATTAAATACCGAATCAAAGCAGAAACAACCTCACAGTCACAAGAACAGTTGTGTACGGACACCATTCAAAAGAGCGGAAAGTTACTGCAATACATTCACTACTTGCTTACTTACTTATGCCTGTCACCCCCCAATGGAGCATAGGTCACCGACCACTATTCTCAAACCCACTCACTCTGTCCTGAGCCTTCCTTTCTAGTTTTATGTAATTGTCATTCATTCTTCACATGTTTGTCTTCATTTCTTGGTGTAATGTGTTCTTTGGTCTTCCACTTCTCCTTCGACCTTGAGGATTCCAAGTGAAGGCTTGCCTTGTGACACAGTTGGGTGATTTCCTCAATGTGTGTCCTATCCACTTCCAGCACTTTTTCCTCCACTGGAATCTGGTTTGTTCTCTCCCATAGTAGGTTGTTGCTGATAGTGTCTGATCAACGGATCCGAAGTATTTTGCATAGACAACTGTTAATAAACACTTGTATCTTCTGGATGATGGTTGTAGTAGTTCTCCATGTTTCCGCCCCATTCAGTAGAACTGTCTTGACATTTGTACTGAAAATTCTGACAGTTGTTTTGAGTTCCAGATGTTTTTCAGTTTTAGATATGCTGCTCTTGCTTTGTCGATCCGCACATACACGTCTTCATTAGATCTACCGTCTCCATCAATGATGCTGCCCAGATATGTGAAGGTTTTTACACCTTCCAAATCTTCTCCGTCAAGTGTGATTTGATTGTTGCTCAGATGACGATTATATATATGAATAAAGGCATGTATACATAGATAGTCGTATATAAATATATATGTAGAAATATGAACAAATGTTTGAACTAACTACTAGTCATCAATCAATACGTCCTTAACAATCTGTCAGTCAGTAGGCCTATGATATATATGTGATGTGATATATTCTGTCTAATTTATACCTCTGAGTCAACGTGTAACTCATCAGAAGCACAAAAATCAACTTTCATTGTTGCTTCATAGTATTTTAATACTTCAATTCAAAAGGTGACCTTTTTGCTAACGATACATGATGGTGAATAACGAGCTGTCGCTGTTAAGGTTCAGAAGTTTCGGTCATAAATATAATAATATCCGTTTTATAATTTACTACTGGTGAACTTATTGTTTTCTTCTATTGTGGATGTTAATAGTATACTAAATGTTCAATATCTATGTGATGGATAGTCTCAGCCACATATAGCTGATTAATGATCACTAGGTTTTACGGCTTATACAGGTAAATCATGCGAAAACATATGACGATATTTGTTCAATAATTTGATACTATTATGGAAAGTTACATATGTACTAAGTATTTGCAACTATCGGATCGTATTGTCTGGACATCAGCTACTTCATTAGTAGAATTATAGCACTTAATCTCAGTCATAAAACTGCACTTAACCGTGTCAAACAACAATTTAGGTCATCATTTTAAAAAGAATATAGTTTCAAAAAGTCTTGCACATAATGGAAACTAAGTGAGAAAAAAGGATGGTATTACTGTAACAAAGAGAAAAGTCTAAGTAAACCTCGGAAAAGAGGTATAAACCAGCTGGGCAAATCAGCCGTTGTGATGCTGAAAGTCGAATTGAAAAATAAAATACAACTGGAGCTACTAGTCACCATTAAGTAGTATAGTTCTTATACTAAAAAGACGCATTAAGAATGATGCTAAAATATAACTACCAGATTTAGCGCTCATTAATTGAAATCAATTAAAGAGTTGGTGTCCTATCGTTTCATCTTCCGTGTATTTTCTATGTTGCAAAAGCTCTCATGACTATTAAAACGCCGACATGATTTTCAACCCAAACATACTAACTAGTATACCTGGTCGTTCAATTTATTTTCATGTATACTACCAACTATTATTAAGTGGCGTAGATTGCATTTAAGCTATTTCCAAGATACTTCAACCAACTTTCAATCTTCGATTCACAGTGATCTTCATATAATCACACTATGCTTAAATTTCTAAGTAGGAGGAATATACATTTTTCTGAAAAAATAATCACACATATTACTCCTTTCTAATTCGTAAGTATCTGGTCTAATGTGTAAAAAGGTAAGATCAGATTTTATCATGGATTAATAATGTATAGACTATTTTTATGGAAATGAACTTAAACACTTGTGATGTCGATATCTCTACTAAGTGACCGCAATTGATTACCATAGGTACAGAATGATGCTATTCAGATTGAATTTCCTTTCCTGTTCATGTCATTTTTTGGTTTCTTGTTTGTGGGTGAGTGAGAGAATAAAACTGACGAATTTGAAAGAAGCACCGTTATTTTACTACTTATTTCTGCTCGAAGTGCGGATGTTTCAGGCAAATGAAAAAAACTGTAATGAAATAATTTCTCTTCGTAACCTGCAATCACATGAAATTGACAAAGACTCTCCTAAATGCAGTTGGTCTCAATAGAGCTTAAAAAGAGCCATCGACGGAAACAAACTCCGATTGTTTATTATGTCATACGCACTTCATTTAAAATACCTGTAATAATAAACTATGGAGTATACTGTCAAGATGAATTCCAATTCCATACTTAATATTCAATCTACTGACTTATGGGTTTATGTAATAGCATATTTGATTATGTAAAACAAACGAAACAAACTAAGCGCAAATTCACTTGGTGCTGTTTTACTTGTATCTTCCCATTGCTATTTAGGACTGCAATTGATCAGGCTCATGTTGGCATATGTGCATACTGTGCGGATTGCCTCGATATAGTCTGAAGTAACAAGTTCTTTAAACAAAGATGGATAGTGGCTAGCAGCGTAATCCAAGACGCACGTTCCCCCTATTCAGGACTCATTAGCTGGATGTACCTGCATCCGAGTTGAAGTTCACTCCGGGACTCGAACCCAGTACCGTTCGCTTCAAACGCCATCGCGTTATCCACTTAGCTAATGAGTCCTGACAGCCACCTGGTAAACATGATATATTAATTTATACTTGTGATTTTGCCGAGGTTTTTGACACCAGCCATATATGTATCATCTTAAACTATAGCACAAGTAAACAAAAGCATTTATTATGTTAATTTCATTAAAATAGAAAGTATTGAGAGAAAAATTATCCTTTGTAATATTTTAAATAAATCTATTTTGATATTCTAAATTATAATTCGATTGAAAGGTATTACATTATAGTTTGATTTCACAAACTTATAATTTTTACATCTGTTTAATCGAACTTGATAATAAGTACGTCAGTGTGTGTGTATGTACGTGGACATACAATGTAGAACTGAGTGAATTAGCTCCTTCTACTACTTACCAGTTAACTTTTACAGTATTGTTTTTTTATATTCACCTATAACAGAATATTCCGTTTTATACATATTTGGTACAGCATGAGCTAGGACAGTTCCAGGATCTTGATAAGGGAAAAGAATAATAATAATAAATTATTTTTAAAATATGATTAAAAATTAAATAGCTGATATAAATCTGTCCCATGCTGTTAAATAATTGTATAAGAACTTTCGTCTAAATTTGATCGAATAGTTTCACAGTATTTGGGCACCGAGTTGACGTGAGACATTAAGGAGGAAGAATGTATTTTCAGAATCTCAGAGAGTGAATTTGAAGTAAATACAACGTTTCGCCTGGGAATCTGGTCCAAACTTTTTCAAGGAATTATATTATTGGTTGAAGCATACGAAATTAAAACAATAAGTTGTAAGTTTGAACCCTTTGTTTTATATAAATAACCTCCGACAAACGAATAGGATTACTAGTTTTCACACAGGGCACAATAATCCTCCGCCTCCTTACTGAGTTGCATCAAAATAGATGAGAAATATGTCGTGTGGTTATTTTAACTTGCAAGCATGTACGACCATTATTATGGATTTAAATGTACATGTAATACCTCATATTGAAATACTATCAAACTCTCGAAAAACATTGCTTCTTTGGACAATATTCAACTTACTGAGTAAACAGTAATTCCTATTACTGGAATTATAACTATGAATTATGTGGTAGTTATTGGCAGGCAATTAGTTATGAACAGGTTACACCCACTAAAAATAGCAATATTTAAAGGAAGTACCTAGCCTGTATATGGAAAACCAGATAAATAGGTAGAAAATTTTCTCATGAATTGTTAATTACACACCTGATATAATGTTTCTTTTATGTCAATGCTAGTTTGTGCGGAGTTTATTTTCCCTATAGTTTTCCAGTCGAAACACTACGCGTAACACTATCAAGCTAGAAGCTAAAAGAAGCTCCAGTCAAAACCATTACAATTTGACTTCATCTACTAAGAATAGTACCAGCAGATGCACCAAACGTATAAATTCTGAGTAAAATTTGAAATTATGAACAGATTATGGTATTAATAGATAACTAACGAAGTACGGAACTTGCTAAAATCCAAATGAGTAAGAGTGGTGGTTGTTTAAAGAGCAATTTGATTGGTCACACTCCATTTAATTATGGACGTACGTAACAATGAGAACACTGACACATTCACCAAAATGTAATTGTTCTAGTTCATAAACTATGCCAGGATGAGACAAAAAGCTCATGCTAACTTTCAGTGATAATCAGTACTAAATAATAATAACAATAATAATAATAATGATAATAAATGATAATAATAATAATTTTAGAAAATTCTGACATTACATTGAAGCTCAACTATCAAGAATAATATACCTGGCAAAATGAATGGTGTTTCTGTTGGGCACACTTTATCCGCTTTTCTTAATATACTATTGGGCTGTTTGTATTCCGACTGGTAAGTGCTTTCAAAACCTCTTTAGGAGAACAAAAATGTACATCAGTATAGGCATTTCAGGTGAATATATTGATTAAACGAATAAGGTATATAGCTTAATAAAATACAGAATCACGTTTTAGTTTCGCATCAAAAAATAATAGAATTAATAAAGATAGGAAATCAACCGACATCTATTACTTACTTTGGAGATGACAGCTGAGATTATTGTGATTCTTAGTGATCAAGTTATTAAAGTTAACTTTTCAGTATTTCTTCGGATAATATATATTTACCAAGTCTTCAATATCATAAAATCAAGTACAGAAAACATCGACATCCAATAAAACAGAGAAGTTTTAAACTATGACAAAACATATGTTTGTTACCTCTCATTTCGAAGCCTCACACAGTTCATAATAAGATTTTAATAGCATATTTTCCTTCTCAAAATCAATATTTTACAATACATCAAAAATTAAAATCCAGTTGGAGTCAACTTCGTGGTCAGTCAACAAAAACGTAGGACCAGACACATATGCATCGATCCAAGTTGCCACATCTCATTAGCACAACAAGATGAAAACCAAATTCATGGAAGTAGTTACTTCAATGGTAGTGATATATAAAAGAAAGATTGTGTCAAAGAGTATAGCACAGGGAGAAAGAATCAGTTCGTAGAAAGATATAAAGCAATTTTAATCTCACGGTTTAAGTGAAGACAAAGAATTTATGCAACGACGCCAATGTGATCGGTTCTGAGCCATGTCGCCCAGTGTCCAACGGTAGAAAAATTTAACAAGCACATCAGATAAATCACGAATGACGAAGGAACAGGACCAGATAGCATACCAGCTGAAACACTCAATTCAGACATACAGTCAAGTGTAAATACCATCTATGCTCTCTTCAGAAAGATTTCGGAGGAAAAACAAGTACCATCAAACTGGAAACAGGGATACCACCTCATCAATATATCAAACAAGTAAATGTACGAGGAAAGAAGGGATTACACGATCGGGTGAAAGGTTCAGTAGACGCCAAACTTTGAGATCAATAGTCTGCATTTCGAATGGATTGATCACATGTCAACTAAGCAGAGGCCCTACAAATAATTAATCAACGACTAAATGAGTGGAACTCATCACTAAACATCAACTTCCTTGATTATAAGAAAGCATAAATTGGTGTGCACTGGAAAATATTGTGGAGTCTTTTTCGACAGTATAGTGTACATAGAAACACCGTCACAATTGCACGAAGCAGTTATGAGATGCTGAATTGCGAATTTGTTGATGGAGGGCAGCTTGCAGATGAATCCCAAGTAAATAATAGTGTCAAACAAGGTTTCCTATACTCATCTATCCACCTTGTGCTAGCTGTTAACTCGGTTATGAAGACCTCTGTTATGTCCTAGTGAAGATTAAATTACAGATAACTTCTGAGAACTATTAATGGATTAATATTATATATATATATGCATATTCTTATTATATAACTGTTCAGAAACTAGATTATGTATATCTATTAGTCTTTTGCTATAAGCTTCATTTTGACCCATAGATTATTATCATTATTATACGATTTACTTTTTTAAGCTGTGTTCAGTTTAGTGATTGCAGTCTTCCACTTTCATAGCCACTTTCTGGTTTGATCTTGTGTAAATGCTATTTCCTATTTTATGGTGTGATGCGGTCTGTCTGTCTGTGTGGTATATAAACCAAGTATGTTTGGAATAAATGGTTCGCATAGTGGAAGCTGTTATTGGCGTTCTGGACTCAATTGGATGGGATAGGAGAATAAAGGACCAATAAGGAGGCTAGGCTGCTCATACTAGTCATTGGTTTCGCACAGTGCTAAGATTGAATAAGTCGTATTTCGATTGGCGCATGAATCACGTGATAACTAGCCGGATTCAAAGGCACAACAACTTCCACATTTCAGAAGCAGCACAGAATACAGTGGATACCTTGAACTTAACTAGATGATGCGGACTATGCAGATAACTTGGCCATGCCATCGCACAGATAACGACAAGTGTAGGTGAAGATGGGCAGTGTAACAACAGCCTCGGTTTTGATATGCTTCCACATCCACAAGGTAAAAAGCAAGATGTTGGAGTACAGTACAAAATCCATCAAATTAATTATACTTAATGGCAAAGCTTACGAATACCTGGAACCTTACATGTAACTGTAAAAGTCAATGTTGGGCTTGGTAGTTTCAAATAAATCGAGTTTCGGTTAGAAAGTTAATAATAAATATATTTCTTGTTATATTCCAATGAGTGGAAAATCGTGTTTCATTACATCAAGTCACAAAATGTCAGAAATATAATTTTCTAATCACTGGGATATAACAAAAAATGTATTTATCACTTACACGTAACTGGATAGCATTATCAGCAGACAAGGAGGGTCGGATGCAGATGTCAAGACACGAACCCCCGAGTCAATAGAGGCATTTCTAAAATTAAAGATTGTCTGAAACTCAAAACAATAGTCGCACAACACCAACGTCAGAATTTTCTACACCAACATTAAAACTGCCATTGTAGACACATCCACGATCCCGCACCACGCGGGGCTCGAACCCAGGACCTACTGGCTTCGCGCGCGAGCACTTAACCATTAGACTACTGAGCCGGCATCCAACGGTGTTAATGTCTAACTTCAACCAATCCACGGAGTTGCGCCACCATATACCCTTGTCTTCAGTGAGCTGGTATCTCACAACAGCCCCGCGTGGTGCGGGATCGTGGATGCGCACTGCTGAGTCCCATACTAGGACGAAACGGCCGTCCAGTGCTTCCAGGTTTTCAATGGTGGTCTAGCTTCAACTGACTCATGATTTCAATCCGTGAAAATTTCTAAAAATCTCCACAAACCCCTTCTGATAATAATCATCTGCTCACTAGTGACTGACTTCAAGAAATACTCCTGGAGTTCTAGTGGGAAGCCGTTACCAGTGGAGTACAACCAGGTCTGTTGTGAGATATCAGCTCACTGAAGACAATGGTATATGGTGGCGCAACTTCGTGGATTGGTTGAAGTTAGACATTAACACCGTTGGATGCCGGCTCAGTGGTCTAATGGTTAAGTGCCATTGTAGAGTCAAAACCTTGAGAACTACTGCAATCATCACCAAAGACTCAAAATTATTGGTAGACAGTTGTCCGTGCAAGATGCTGAAAATCAATCTTCTAGTAAATAGTCTTGCTAGTTGTATAAAAGTTAGTAACCAAATATTCAGAAAGTGATGAAACTTACGTATGTGCTACATGATGGGAAATCGGTTGTACTCTAGTGCTTTCTGTCGGACAATTAAACTTCAGTATGTCAATCATAGGTTGTTTTTCGTTTTCAATGCCTTCTTTTATTATTGGTCTAGTAACAAATAAATAACAACAACAAATGTCTATTGGTTGTCAAATTTATTGTTTTGAGTAAATTAAGTGAAGAAAGAATCCGGATGATAAATCTATAAATTAGATACAGATTAATTTCAGTTTAATTATTTTATTTTCGATCGAAAGTCATGATTCACAGGAAGACACAATAATTTGTTTTTAAAACTATAAACATTCAATAATGTTGTTATTTAAGACAGAGGTTCCGATCGTACAGTCGATCGATAGTGAAGTTAGGATAGCTCCAGTTGTCAGACTTATTTAATGACAATATGGATGAATAAGATTTTTGATAATGATAAGACCCAGTCAAGTTTGTTGCTACTCATCATATTATATCCGTGGTTTGGTATCAACAGCGTGTCAGTAAATATACAACTTAGTCAACGCCTGGATTTGTATCAGATTCATTCAGAGTAACGGTATGGTGTTTGTATGAACTAATGATTTCTTTGTACTTGTCGACTGCCTGATTACGAATTCCAAATACCACACGTTCGTTTTTGATCACCTGGTTCTAATTGTCACAAACTGCACTGTTTCGGGGATTGCCAGTTCATACAATAATTCAAATACTTATAATTATCACAAATGCGTCTTCCTCTCCATCAATATTCTCTCTAGAATATCTCTTAACTAACTCAAATGCTAATCTCACGGGAAACTCAAGGGAAATTTCTATTTTCATCCACATTGTTTCTACTTTTTAAGCGTAGTAAAATTAATTTCTGTGTTTTGAGATGAGTTCCCGTTTTGTGCAGAAAAACATTCGACTGATTTATTTTGGTGAATGACAAATTTAGATGGTAGAAACTTGTCCACTTCTAAAGAGCTTACAGCTGCTGAAAAATAGAACAGAAATCGATGGCCGGATTGTTTCAGCAACCATCATTTTGACATTCGCGTGGAAAACAAAAAAAATAATAAGGCAGGAGTCTGATTCCAACAAAAAGGGTCATAATTAGGCTAAACAGATAACGTAAGACTGACATACTTGGAGTCTAAACCAAACACGTTTGACTTCAAGTAGTCTGTTGAATTCCAGTATGTCGGTATATTCTTTTGAGATATTTCCTTTAGTTCTTCAGGTTTCCAAACCCTATGGTCTTTCATATATGTCGTAAGATATGGATCCATGTATCTTAATATTTCTTTGTCCTTGGGATATGACACTCTGCCTGATAAACTAGCGTTTTTAGTAGACGGGATGATGTTCTTGAAGTTTAATGCTATAACATAAGTGATTTACTTTGGACGGTCCATCCTTATGATGATCTTCAATTTCAAAAGGTCGCATTGATAATGGACGCCACAGTCCACTGAGCCCATCAACACTACCATACGATTCTTTTGTTTCAGTTGTCTGATGACTTGGGCTTAGCGGTCTTCTGTAGCCTCCACGGAGAAATCGTGAACGAAAATCATTTATGTAGTGAACATCCCAGTGATGAGGTGGTCGAGGATTTTGTGGACACTTTAAATAATCCTTCGGGACCTTCCGATCGTACGCAAGCCTGTTTGACGTTTGATACTGATCGTCACACTTAACTGCAGATTCGGGCTCTAAACTCCATGTATGTCTTTTACTAAGTTTGGCCTTAATTGTAAAGCAAAATAAGGAACTATGTAGAAAAGTATTATCATACCATTGTGTCAGAATCAGGGAAATAAAACCCTTTCCTCCAGTGATGTCCAACTCCATAAGAAGTTTGGAATAAATCATCACTTTGCATAATATCTCGACCGTCATTTAAACTTGGCATCACGAGCAAAGTGTTGCTATAGCAACCACTATTTAGCATCCAATAGTTTTGTTACAAGCTTGTATCAGGTGACTGATTTTTTCGCTATCGTTTCTTGTTCCCGTATACAAATTATGAAAACCTAAAACATGTTCCAGCAGAAATGTATAACTGTTCATTCTCTAGTGTCATGGTTTAACTTGTAGTGACTCACGAGAACACGATTGGTTTAATGAAAACAATTATTATTATTATAACCAATTGTACCTGTGCTTGTTTAATGTGCTCTTTGTTTAACTGTGCTAATGGCAGTTATATTATGCTTACATTATTATTCACACACTTTGATTGTGACCTCGCGCGAATTCGGTTACGCTCTGTAACCAAGATTGTATCCTGGCACGATCTCGGTATTCTTTCGATACCACGAGATTGCCAGCAAATATATCTCGACTTGGTCCATTAACTGCCTTCTGATATTTGGCTTCCGGGGGATTTTATGGATATTTTGGCACGTGCTTTTTGGTAGAGGTGTTCATATTCTACCGCGACTCGACCTCACGCTACGAATTTTTATGAGAGAATCTTATTTATGTAGAGCTTTTGTATGTACATATACACTGATAAGCGTATAAAGAGTGGATATGAAAGTGACAAGAATTCCTCTGGGCACAAACAAGTGAGGCTCTGTTCCACTTTTGCGTCAGAGATGAAAGAACATGTGGGGGATATAATTGTTTTCCATCCAATTTAGGGTAAAAACAGTCAAATCACTTAGCCATTTTTTAGACTTAATAATAACCATCAGTGAGATGATTCATTAGCCTCACAGAGACTAGAGTACTTACTATGGTGGATTCGACGTGATATATAGTTTCTGTTAATTAGGTTTCATTACCAATATATTAGAGTTTGGTAACACTATTCTTAGACAATGTAGCGTACGAGAGGCTCCAATTGTAGCTTTTTACTTGAAGTATGGATACATTTTCATGACCATAGACTTTATTGAACTTTATCCACATCTCATGAACGAAAGCTCACTTTCATTTCTTGGTCTGTCCTACTACTTTCGGCTGCGCTGTGGCATTAGTAATTTTGTGGACATCGTATGGAATTTCAGTTGTAAGTAAAGTGGGGTGAACTAGTGCATATCCTGTGCGTTGCTGTCGACTTCTTGTGTGCGACAATCCCGCTCGATTTGGTATCGAGCCAACATTACGTAAATTCTGATGGGAGAGTAGTGTAGAAGTATTGGTCTTTAACAGCATGATCTTTCAAGCGGAGCATATAACTCCTGAAAATATTTAAATTCGACATGTAACACCCTGGAAAAGTTCATGATGGTGAGTGAGCGAACAAGTGATCGTATAACATGGCTCAGACTTGTAGGCGTAGCCATCCTTGAAACAAATCCATGTTTACATTAAAATACTTTATTCTATACCCAGCTCAAATGTGTTCTTCAGAGGTGCTGAACTTTGTATTGCTGATTCTTACGATACAACGAGTCAAAACAGAAGATGATGTGGCTTTCACGTAAGATCTCATAGATTAGGTAGTCACGTCATGACAACTCGACAATTTTGTGATTAGGCCGATTGTAATGGTAACTATGATTGATGTACTAATACCGAATTAGACCATAATTTCACAATATGACATACTATTGTGGTGTATGCTTCTAATGTCGACAGATATAAGTAGTATGTAACGCCACTCAGGAGTGGAATGTTTGGGAACTGAAGTTTGGGATTGAACTGAAGAAAATACGAAGGGAAACATAAAGGAATTCGGAATTAGCACTGTATAAAGAATGTGAAGGACAGTTGATGGAGTACTTGTAAATGATGTATTTAATGTATAGTCTCCACATTTTACGACCGAATTCAACAATCAGCAACTGAACCGCGTTGCAACTTTGAATTGAGCTATATGAAACGGTAAAATTAAGCATTAATGGTAAATCTTTGACCAAAACTAACCGAAATTGGTTAAGATGAAGAAGGCTGAAGAAAATAAGATATGGGTACAATAGACCTGAGTGAGGGTTGAAATATAAAACAAAAAAGAACGAAGAAATAACATCACTGTTCAAAAAGACAATTTAGGAGGATTATTAGTATATACTTTCCGTTGTAAATAATCCTAATATCACTAACTTTGATCACATTATTATCCACTCTGCCGTTAAGACCTTTAAGTCGAATGCAAATTTTGGTCAAGGTAGTGTCTCATCGATTCCCTACAAAATATCTGAGCTGGATGTGCAAACATCATTACTTAAAATGTTTACACTATCCTTAGAAGAAGGCTCATATTCTGAAACCTGGGATGTCATGTAAGTTTTCTCCAAATGTAGACAATTGCCAAAAAACCTATCCCAGAACTAAGGATTAATAAATGTCACATCTGTCATATCAAGCATAATGAAAAAAGGGAGGAAAGATTATTTGTTTGCCCACCTACTTGAGGAAGGCTCAATCCACTCCTCGCAATACTGCTTAAGGTTCCCAATAATCTTTAAACCAACAGACTTTAGTAAGTCGTAATTACTAGCCTTATATTGCAATGGATTAAATCTCTCGCAAACAAACCGAATTATTAAATTAACTACGGTATCCACACCTCGATCAATAATCAGTAGTAATGCTTAGGGTAATGCTTTGAGCCCACTGCTTTTTCTAGTCTAAATCAATAACATATGCACCTACTTCAACTCCGGAAAGACCTACCTTTACGTTGATGACTTAAAACTCATCTGCGAAACCAACATCTGACGCATGCCAAGCGTTGCACGAACATTCGAGCATGAACTGAACAAAGTAGATAACTGGTGTAGACGCTATAGCTATGTGTTGGAAACGAGACTGAAAGTTAACAAGTATGTACTGCCCGAACTCACTTCAGTACCTGACCTTGGAGTGTATTACCCACGCAGTCTAAACTTCTCTAAACCCATCGCCACTAAAGCATTGAAGTTGCGAAGATTTCTAGACTTTATAATTTTTTACTTTTTTGAAAGGAATTTGGAATCATTCTTTAAAAGTTATGTGTAAGACCTATCGTTGAATACACTTTGTTCTTATTTTCTGACTTACGTTTATACCATGTACTGGAGGTGGAAGGGATACAATGAGATTTCACACTCAGAATGCTTAAAACTGATCCACTCATTGACTACCGTTGCTGATACCATATCCTGGGGCTTGAACCCTTTTGGAAGAAGGGATTATGTTCACTATGGTTCTCTTTCTCGAGCCCAGAAATCTTACTTACTACACTCGAAATATAGTGCTTGCCGAAGGCTCAGATATATACGATATCTGAGATGAAACGTCCACGGTCAAAGTCGAAAAATACTGGAGAAAATCTCATGAAGTATGCAATAATATGAAAAAGTCTTCTCTTCGAAATACGAATGACATATGGATGATAAAAATCTCACAATATTTGTTGTTGAAACTCCCACTTTCACATGCAGGCGCGAACAAATTTACAATTTGCCTAGATATCACAGACTCTCTCACGTCCAAATTACATCACAACATTAGTTTCATTTCTCTATTTTTTCTTCTTTGAAGTTATGTTAGTTACTTCTCCGTGGCTACATGTCCCTCTTTAATCTACGATCAAACTAAACAGATAATTCACTCAACCTATCAATTCCACTCAACAATATTCAACCACAATGCACGCTCGCTACTATCCTAAAGATTTACCAACTAAATATTACGATTTCCTGCCCAACTACCAACGGTCTACTTTCAAGTGGATATTCTACAACAACCATAAATTCAATAAATATTTGCGTCACACGAATGCTTAGTGACAACATAACTCCACGCGAATGATCACTTTTCGACTAGGTGTGTTCGTTAAGGTCGCAGTATTTACGTGATGCCGTTTTTGAACAGGTCATAAACTAACAGTGCACTACCATAAACCCATTTTTATATCCACGCGAATATTCTACCACTACTCCCATTTGTTTACTCAGCATCATAACCCATTCTCGAACTCATGTTGTAAATTATTGAACATATCTTTTGGATTGACTTGTACCTGATGTGTCAGAAAAATATTATTAATATATTCATGTATATCTCCTCCCTAGATTGTTACCTACACGGCCCCTTAGTCCATGGAGTAATATTGATGTGTAGGCGAGGAAAATAATAAATAGTTGTTGACACGGAAATATACTCACGTTCTGGTCAAGCCAGTCATGTGTTTTCGATCCCAGTCGTGTCGAAGTTCTGCTAAATAAAAATTGGGAGGGTATTTGGTGTAGATATTTGTCCGCGGCTAATTAGTGTTCCATTGATATGAGGAATAGAATCAAGCGTTATTTTATATGTGCACAGTAACTATGCTGCCCATAGTAATTACACTAAAACTACAAGGGATACTGATGTAGGTCATAATGCAGGGGTAACAATTCCGTAGTAAAATGCGCTGATATACGGACCCAAATGTGGCGAAATTTAAATAAACTTAGTTAAGAGTAACGTTATGGTAGAAGTCTTGCTAACATCTCAGAGCTATTGGTTGAACGGTTCTCTCAAACCTGACTTCGATGTGGTAAAAGTTGTGCCGAAGGGGATACCACTCAAACATAACGAACAAACACCCGATAACCGGCCATCATTGTTTCACGGAGTACCAAACTGGAGAGGGATGGTCCTGACGAAGTCAGCGAACAAGCTATGCAACAGTGGATTTGGATATCAAGTTACTCAGGCCTTCATACTACGATGACAAATAACGTTTTTGAGCTATCCCATTCGTTATACTTCACGACCGTCAAGTCTTCGTGTCTGATAGCTGTGAACAACTACTTGTGCTTGAAATATAATATCTGATCTTGAGTCTGGCCACAGGTTTATGTACTGTTGTGGCCCGTTGATCTGACTCCAGATCAGAAGGCTGCGTGTTCGAATCACGTCGGGCTCACCAATGAAGTGGCTCGTGAATCTGACTCCAAGATCGTATAAATGTTTGTTATCGCCTTTTCTCGTATATCATCGTCGACTTAAATCGCGTTATCCAATAATGGAATTAAATAAGTCGAATAACGAGAATTGACTTGAGAATACATATATTTCGTACATGGAGCGAATGAAGCACAACAAAGCAATTTTGACACGTATGGAGTTGGCTTCCCAGCCATCTTCCATACGTGTCAAAATTGCTTTGTTGTGCTTCATTCGCTCCATGTACGAAATATATGTATTCTCAAGTCAATTCTCGTTATTCGACTTATTTAATTCCATTATTGGATAACGCGATTTAAGTCGACGATGATATACGAGAAAAGGCGATAACAAACATTTATACGATCTTGGAGTCAGATTCACGAGCTACTTCAGTACTCAAGTTCAGGGTAGAAAGAGAAGTTAAAGGGATGTAAACCAATAAAGACAAAGCTGTTAACACAGGGTTACTAGTGCTGATTGGACGTTTAATTAGTCAACTCGGAGACACTAAGTCATATCAATCGTGATTCTGACTAGTGGTGCTTTCACGTAACATTAGTCATCAGTTATTTTGTAATATCCAGCTAGGGATTTCAGCACTGCATCCCTTAATCTCAACAAGCGAAACACAACCTCTACAGGGCGATTTCACAATAGACTTGTTCAGCCATATGAAGTTCGGGACCGACAGAAAATGTGGGTGATATCGCAGAATGGAGCAAAGATGAATATCACTCAAAATTAGACCATTCGCTAAGAAATGACCAGCTTCTAGTCGAAGACGTTCATGTCTCAGAATCAGTAGAGAGAAGTTACCCATGAACACGTAAACACTGGTGGATCATCATCTCTTGTTTGGGCTAGCTGTGCCTCATGCATGTCTAATAACTTACCTACTATTGCCACTACCACATACCACTAGTTTGAACCTGTCACGCCTATGATCATCTCCGATGCCCCTTACACTTCAGTCTCACACTGCCTGAAGTTCTAATTAATCAACTAATAAAATATTTACTTAGTTCTTGAAATCATCATCTAGTATCCGAATTTTCGCCCATCTATTTTTCATATTGCAACCAACCAATCTTTTGCCTGGTAATGTGATACCCACTGTTTCCATAAACTCTGATGCTTTGCGACCAATGTGATCACTCAGATTGAAGGATATGCAGGCCTACAATTAACTACCAAACTGAGCAGCAGTAGTATAGTCGAGAGGTTAGACTACCACCCATTGATTACCGACTACCCGGAGCTGTGCCGAAAAAGCAAGAAGCTGATGCAAATTGATGGAACAGTTTACACAAGGTTGTCATACTGGAGAAATCGGATAGCAAATAAACGAAATATGAAATGAGATCAATATATGTGTTTGTATGCTTTAGATTCTGAATTATTCCTACTGAAGCGGTTTTCCGAAAATTATGGTTAGTGATGGATGTTCTAAGAAAGCGACTGAATGAATTTAGAGAAGAAGAGGACGATTTGAGAAGTAAAGTTTCAGACATTGAAAATCAAATTAAGTGTGTGGTCGATGCAACTCACAAGGCACGTAGTTCTTTTTGTCCATAACGTGTTTTTAGGTTAATTCAGAACAGTATGAACTTGCTACTAAAGAAATGTTACTTAAGCAGAAGTGTCAAATGCAAAATGACAGACTAAAGGATGCTCTTAACAGGCTCTCTGATCACAGAGATAGTCACGATCATCATTCTAGGTAAACTCAGTACTGCGTTTTTGAAAATTTTTAGGAAATTGGAAAACTTGAATAACAAAAATTATAGCCAGGACTCAAGAATAGATGAATTGGAGGCAGAGCTGATGCGATTGCGGAACGAGTGCCTAGAAGTCCAGGCTCGTGTTGACGAGGTCTGTCTACTTCTCTCTTGTTGTATTTGTAGACTGTAATTCATCTGAAACATGTAGAATTCGCCAAAGAAAATGCTGAAAAACGAGCCAATGCAACCGAGTCGTATGATTATAATTTGGTTACATTGTATTCTTAAAGGAAAGTTCAAGACCTCGAATCGCAAAGTACATCCACATTAGAGGCTTTGAGACGTGCTGAGCTAAATGATATACAGGTAAGTAATGTTACACAAAAGTATGTTAGCTAGTTTTAGAAAACCTTAACTTAAGCACTGCCAGCTACTGATGTTTCGTCGCTAGCCGTTTGGTTTTTCAGTTGAGTTGGTCCTTAAGTTCACCAGAATTGAATTTGTCAGTGGATAAAGGAGCGTATAATGACTCAGGGTCTTAGGATTTTCGATATGCATGTCTGGGGAAGTGTAAGGGCCTATGTTATGTTTCGGTTTTATTTGAATAGACGTTTTTCCTTGCCTGGATGCTTCAAAATTGTGTCTGACGAGAAGGGAAAGTTTAGCAAACAAATAATCATCAAAAGATCTGTGGGGATTTGTTAATATATAATGTTTTCGAGATTTCGTCACCGCGTCATATGTACTCATGATATAAGGCTGTTCACCATTCATGTCTGGCTTTTTTTATGCTTAGTTTGCAAACTAGTGTTTACAAGTTAAATATTTTGTATCAAACCACGCGTCGAACATGGTAACCGTGTAGATTGTAATGCGTTTTTATGGAGTTAGTAGTTTGAAGAACAATTTCTAACTGGATAAGGCTCTGCACTCATGAAGTTTTCGGCTTTCAAAGGCATTCTATCTTCCATTTCTTAAGTGTCTCCAGAGGCACTCCACAGATATGCCCTATATAGTGCGTTTATTAAACTAAACGTGCCTTAGATTGTCCATGAGAGAGAGAGCGCCAATATATATGCGCCACACAAAACAATGAGAATTCGAAGAGAAATAGAAAAAAAGCTAAGGAGCGCAAAAAAAGAGAACAATAACGAGGAGATTGGTGTAACGTAGTATGGTAAAAATGAGGGAACGGAAAGGTACAATCAGAAGAAATCTTTCAGGTAAGGGAGACACAACCACTTTTTATGAAGAAAGTAAAAGAAGGTTACAGCAGGATCGCCACTGGCTTCTATTCTGAGCCATATCTGATAACGTCTCTAGCCACTGTGTAGCACGACATTCGGAGAACATGTCCAAGCCACCGAAATCGGTGTTTCAAGATGGTGACACCAATTGCATTATCGCGTCTGTGTCCGAACACACGATGCCGAACCTCTGCATTACTAACATGGTGTTGCCACTGGATGACAGCAATCCTTCGGAGACAGTGATGATCGAACACAGAGAGTCGTCTAACGTCCTCAACTCTGAGTGACCAGGTTTCACAAACATAGAGTAAAACTGCTCTCACCGACGCGTTGTAGATCCGACTTTTTACGGCCAGACTAACATCACGAAGGCGCCAAAGGTGGCCCAGATTGGCATAAGCCGCTCTGGCTTTCACTATTCGTGCATTGATCTCATCACTCACACCCCCACCAGCACTGATGCAGCTACCCAGATACACGAACTTCTCGACTACGTCTATCTGCTCACCATCCAGGGTGAGTACAGGATTGGAATCCTGCCAGTCTTGTAGGAGTACTTTGCACTTCGAAGGTGCAAAGCACATGCCATACCTACGGACACTGATTGCCAACTGATTAAGTGCGCATTGCATGCCTTGGGCATTATCAGTCAGTCAGTCAGTCAGTAACAACGTAGAACTTCGTACGTACGTACATTAGTTCGAGTTGCCATACCACATTAGCACAGAGATGCACTTGTCGATTCAAATCCCGTAGTGGTAGAGGTAATAAGAGTATAAGCAGTAATCGGGAAGATTAGGGTTTGGAGATTTTATTTAAAGAGTATAATACAGTGAAAGAAATTTGGAAAGAGGAAAAAAGGGACATGAAGAATTCAGAAGATTAGAATTTGGGAGAACACAGAGAGTGGATGCACCTGCGCCATTGCAAACGATTTTGAGCCATGTCATTCAGGGTCTCTAACCATCGGTTGCTGTCATCTCGCGGTCCCCAACCAGGTAGTCTACACCTACCAACATGACTCAGTCTACTTATCAGTGACTTCATGGACTTGTCCCATGTTTTGGTTTGGCCGCCCCTAGCTTTCTTCCAACCTACTCCTATACCACTGAACATAGCACGTCGAGGCAGTCGGTCGTTTGGCATACGTAACACATGTCCCAGCCATCTCAACTGATGAAGTTTCATCACTTCATCAATTGATTTGCCATCCTTACCTAGTACCCGTTTCCGTGCTGAGATTTCGTCACACACTAAACCACAAGGGCTGATGAGACTTCCAAGATAAGTGAAGCGGTCGACACGCTCAACTACTTCACTCCCTATCATTAATTCGGGTGTCGATGTAACCCAATCCTGAAGCAACATTTTGCATTTCGAGGGGAAGGATCGCATCCCGAACATGCTTGCATTGTTGCTTAGAGTGGTCAGAAGACTCCGCATTTTGTCAGCGTCTTCACCAAATAAAACTATGTCATCAGCATATTCTAAGTCAACAAGTGAACCTCCCAGTGGAAGTTCAACCCCTGGAAATCTAGACGAGGAAAGTGTTATCTCTAAAAGTACGTCAATGACAAAAAGTTAAACAAGAATGGAGAGAGTGGGCAGCCCTGACGAACACGACTTGAGGTAATCAATTCTGATGACAGTTCGCCATAAGCTCTCACTCTACCAGTTGTGTTCGAGTAGAGAGCCTTTATAAGGTTAATGTACTTCTTTGGTACTCCTTTCAGTGACAAACACTGCCATAGAACCTCACGATCAATAGAGTCGAATGCCGCCTTAAGGTCGAGAAATACTACCATTGTGGGGCGTCTGAATGTGTGTCTGTGTTCTAGAACCTGACATAGTGTGAATATCTGATCTATACAACCACGTCCAGGTCGAAAACCAGCCTGGTTTTCTCTAGTCTGCTCTTCACGAGCTTTAGTTAGGCGTCGAAGTATGATTGAGGCTAATATTTTAGACATTATATTAGTCAAACTGATTCCTCTGTGATTGTCACAAGAGGACTTTTGTCCTTTCTTATAGACTGGCACAATCAGTGATTGAGACCAGTCAGATGGGATTACGTCCAGTTCCCAAATTCTACCTAAGACCTCGGTTAATCTCATTGCTAATACTGGACCACTATCCTTAAAAATCTCAGTAGTAAACCTGTCAGGGCCTGCTGCTCTCCCTCGTTTCAGATTTCCTATGGCTTTTTCAACTTCGTAAAGGGACGAAGGACCTACATTAAATTGCCATTCAGGTTGACTGGAGATCGTGGGAAACCGAAGTGTGGCTGAAGGCCAGTTGAACTGATCCCTAAAGTGTTCTGCCCATCGATCCAATCTCCTGGATTGGGAATGAATAATATGTCCATCTTTCTCTGAGATTGTTTCGCTAACGGTCGGGTTCCTAATTCCGGTTTCCTTAACGAGTCTAAACAATTGTCTGCTATTACCTATTGCCGCTGCCTTTTCCATCTCTCTTGCTTTCGCTACCCACCACTGTTCGCGATCATTGCGTAGACTTCTTGTCAGCTTGCGCTTAAGCTGACTCCGCTCTTCATTATGTTCAGAGCCAGGTGGAATGAGTTTCCAAGCATCTATCAATGCGATAGATGCTGCCGAGATCCAGTGTTGCTCCCTAACCTTCTGGTTTAACTTACTAGCAGATATCACTGCTGTTTCCACAGCTTTTCGGATATCATTCCATGCTGCATCGGGGTGGGCATTACATACATGGCTGCCTAACTGTTTTCCTAGTTGTTCCTGAAATATACTCTTAGCTTGACTATCATTAAGTAGGGCCCTAAGAGGTTTCCTTGCAAGATCTTTCCTACGTCCAGTAAGAAGCAAGCAAACGCGCGCTCGCACTAGAGCATGATCTGTATCTAAGCATGTGCGCCAGAACGAGCGACAGTCTTCTATCGAGCCCCTCCATCGGTGGCTGATAGCGATGTGATCTATTTGGGTCCAACGTTGGGACGAATTAGGGGGTCGCCATGTTAAAAGATGTTTATCCTTATGCTTAAAGTTAGTATTTGCAAGGAACAGGCGGTTATCTGAGCATAGCTGCAACAGACAGTCGCCATTATCTGTTCTTTGAGCCACGACACCATAGGATCCACCTAGGTGTCTTTCCTTATCGCTTAGTTTACCTACTTGAGCATTAAAGTCACCGGCCACTATTACTACATCCGAGCGCCTAGCTTTTCGGAGAAGGTTCGAAAGCTTTCTGTAAAACTCATCTTTTACATCATCTGAGCTGCAGTCAGTGGGAGAATAAGCAGAGACGACGAAGAGGCAACGACGAGTGTCCCTATCTTTCCGGATTCTTACTGTTCCGTTCAGTCGGACAGCGCACAAACGACTGTTTACTGGGATCCACTCTAAGAGAGCTAGTTCTGCCCTAGGACTCAATGCTATACCTACGCCGGCGAGGCCACGGGAAGCAGAATCAGGGCTTCCAGATACACGAAGCGTAAATCGAGTCGGTTCTTTATTTTGGCATGGTGAGGTCAAATGAATGACGCTACTTGGATCCTGTATGCGCGTTTCGGAGACGCAGCACACATCGATGGCACGAGATTCTAAAGTTTTAGCTAAGGAAGCCTGCTGTCCTATTTGGCAAAGTGTTCGTACGTTAAAAGCTCCTACGTGTAGTTTAGAGCGTGGTTTCAGGAGACCAGGAATAGCGTTCCACGTACTCGAATCGTTTGCCCTAGCGGTGCGAGGTGATAAACAGACTTGAGGAGCGTTAGTCGGGAGGATAAGAGAGGTATTAGGAGGTGTAGGAAGGATTTGAATGTGACCACCTTGGTCTCTTGTGCTGTTACGGGTATGAGGGCTGATGTCACTTCCTGGCTGCACACACCGTGGAAGGGTATTTCTTGAGGAACCTGAAAAGGAAATTGGATTAGTGTTGGTCTTGACGACCTGGGAGCGTGACCGCAGAGCCCAAGGGACAACTGCTCGAGGCCGGTCGCGCACGGCCTTTTTGTGGAAGGTTTTTGACGTGTTAGCTCCGTTCTTCAAGGGGCCTTACCGCCGGAGACGGAAATCCGTGAGGTAAGGTGAGGTGTGCATTTTTAGGGTCGACCTTTTCTAACCCCACCCCTCCTTGTGGGAAGGCAGCATCGCTGTCATGCTGGTTGTCCGAGGGAAACACTTTACTGCTGTCACACCTCTCTACAGTCAGCAGTACGACTTCGCCCTCAGACCTTGAGTTGCTGCTTTTAGTCTTACCGTTCGCCAATCGACCTGCCTGGCATGGTAGAACCTGCAGGAACATATGTTCCAGCCAATATAGCTCGGTTGGGTCATCACGATAGGCCAGCCCGACCACCGCGTCAAGGTAGCAGCTTCGATCGGGCATTATCGCACAGTAGGACAATATCGTCCGCATACTCAAGGTCGAGAAGTCTTTCTCCAGGCAACAGATCCACACCACCATTACTTACATTCATCAGAGCTGTTTCCAGAATGTCATCGATGGCAAAGTTGAAGAGGAATGGTGAGATTGGGCAACCCTGCCTATCCCCACTGCTCGAATGGAACAATGGAGAGAGGTGGTTGTATGCCCTCACTCTGCCTGAGGTGTTTTTATATAGGGCTTTTAGGGTGTTAATAAACTTCTCAGGCACACCCTTCTTCAATAGACAATCCCAAAGAACAGTCCTATCCAACGAATCGAAGGCAGCCCTGATGTCAAGAAACACTACGATTGTTGGCCTTTGATAAGTATGGCGGTGTTCTAACATTTGGCGGAGTGTAAAGATATGATCAATACATCCTCGACCAGAACGAAACCCAGCCTGCTCCTCGCGAGTCAATCTTTCTCGGGTTTTGAACAACCTACGAAGTATGACGGAAGCCAATAGCTTGGACGCAATCGGAAGTAGACTTATCCCCCGATAGTTGTTACAGGAACGACGTGAACCATTTTTAAAGATAGGGACAACTATCGACTCATTCCATGACGTTGGTACACTCTCTAGTTCCCAAACCCTTGTAAACAACGTCGTAAATTCCTTAGTCAAAAAGTCACCACCATCTTTGAAAAGAGCCGGAGGTAAGTCATCTAGGCCAGGTGATTTGTAGCGCTTCAAGAGTTGGAGTTCCTTGCAGACTTCCTCCTCGTTTGGTGGATCAGTCGTCACCGACCATGGAGGGCAGGACAGTCTGACCGATGTTGCCGGAGCAGCAGGCCAGTTGAACTGCCCTTCGAAAAATTCTGCCCATCGTCCAAGATGTCGATGGATGTTAGTGATTGGCATCCCATCATCCTCGCAGATTGTTTCACTCACACCAGACTCCTTGCTGCCAGTGGCTCGGATGAGTTGGAAGAGCTTCCGGTAGTTACCAGATGCAGCTGCTGCTTCCAGCTCATTAGCACGCTCCGACCACCAGGCTTCTCGGTCCTTACGCAAGCTTTGCCCAATTTCCTTACGTCACATCCTTCGTTTATGGTCAAACTCACGGTCACCCGGAGTAGACCGACGGGCTTCAATGAGTTGTAAGGAACCAGAAGAAACCCAGTGCTTATAAGCGGGACGTTTCGCGAAGCCACAACTGACTGTAGCCGCCATTTTCATGGCGTCATGCAATTGCAACCAATGCTCATCTATACTTTTCGGTGGAGTGGTAGCTAGCCTAGAGGCTAGCTCGGTTCGATACTTACTTGCAACAGAAGTTGCAACCAGCTTGCTAATATAAATCCGTTGATGGCGGTCACTTCGTTGTGCACTGAAAAGTAAGGCAAGGTTGGCGCAGACCAAGGCATGGTCAAAGTCCAGATAGGTACTCCAAAAGGAGCGGCAGTCTTGTACACAACCACGCCAGCGGTAGCTGATCGCGATGTGATCAATCTGAGTCCAGGCTTGGGATGCAGAGGGAGGACGCCAGGTGGCAGATCGGCGATGGCTGTGCCGAAAGTTAGTGCTAGCCAGAAACAGGTTGTGGTCTGTGCACAGTTGCACTAGACGGTCCCCGTTATCTGACCTGCGACCAACAAGTCCCCATCGGCCCCCTAAACGACCCTCTTCTGTGCCTAGACGCCCGACCTGAGCATTCAAGTCTCCGGCTAGTACTACAATATCTGTCGAACGCACTTTCTGGAGAACAGATAACTGGTGGTAAAACTCATCCTTGATTGCATCCGGGCTGCAATCTGTCGGGGCATAGGCGGAGATGATGAAGAGACATCGTTCCTCACGCCGATTTCTTCTCACTTTGATGGAACTCTCTAATCTAACAGCACATAACCGACTGTTAATGGGGACCAATCGATTAGTGCTGCCTCAGCTCTAGCGCTTAGTGTGACACCAACGCCAGCAACACCAGACGAAGATGCCACAGGATCTCTGGATAAGCGCACGTAAAACAAGCCTTTTGAAGTGACAGATGTAGAGCGAATTTGTAGTACTTCGCCAGAGTCTTGAATACGGGTCTCGGATAGACAGCAGACATCGATATGAAGACTTTCCAAAGACATAACCAGCCCTATCTGTTGTCCGACCTGCATAAATGTGCGAACGTTGAAGGCAGCCGGTTTGAACGGCTCACGTGGTTTCGGAAAAACTTCTTCAGTACTCATATTCGGTGGTAACATACAATTTTCAACCGGACAGTGACTCTAGAAAGTTTAGATACAGTCGAATTTCCACCAAAGACGAGCCACTGTATAAGTATAAAAGAGGGTGAATAATGTGGAAAATAATAATAATAATAATAATAATAATAATAATAATAATAATGAAAATAATTGTAATGATAATAATTTGAATCAATTGATTGTTTTTCGAAGCGAGAAAAGTAGTTTTCATAGACATAGAGAGTTCATCATTTGTGTGTGGTCTGTGATACTGCCCGGGTGCCCAAACCGAAGCAGGTGGTTATCTTAGGGGGCCACTCCCCGAGCCTTTGACCTAAAGGTCTAACCCACAAGGCAGTGGAGCATCGTAAGGAGATGCAATCCCATGGTAGCCGGTGACCAACGATTGGTTCATACGCCATTTGTTCCCACAGGATACTGGAGCCCATGTGCACGATTGATTGTCCAAGAGTTATACACCAACCTACTTAGTACAATTTTAATTCATGGAATTTACGAGTTGATGCCAAACATCCTGGCATCTGAAAATATAGTCAAATAATAATGCTATTATGGAGTAGTAGTTGTGTTTAGGGCTGAGAACCATGAGTAATTTGAGTGCTTGGTACCATTGTCAATGGACTTTCATTTTGTGAGTCATTGTCCTTTACAAAAACGATGGGCTCTTAGTATTTTGTTATAGGGTTTATTTTGTATATTTACTTTTGAATGACATGTGGACTTGATAGCTTGATGAATCAGACTGACTCCATCTAAGAAAGCATTAAAGGCTGTGTTCAGAAACTTAAACTCAGTGATTGGTATCCATATTCAGAACTTTTAAGTCGTCCCTACTAACAGTCTTAGATAAATATACTTCTCTACTGCTAAGAAAATTTATTAAGGTGTGCGTTTTATCATGCATCACACATGCGATAATTACAATCAAAATGGTTGCCTGCTCTGGTACTTATCTGATAATAGCGAAATGGTTTACAGCTGTATAAATGCTTTACGCTGATTCGACTGGTCTTTAAAGTATTCTGCGCATGTACGTATAAATCATTAGTGGTGAAAATTCGTTTAGGCGTGCAATCATCCAAAACTTTGTAGTCTAACAGCGATTTGATTTTCATTTGGGATTAATCAGACTTAATAATCTAATAATTAGTCCCGAAATTCACATTATCTTACTCTTTTCCTTTGTTTTTTCTTCACAGTATCTATCAACAGATGATTTGGAAATGAAGGAAAAAAGCTTACGGGAACAGTTGCAGAGGGTGAGATACTGGGTATTCCTTATTAATATTGGTTGTGTTTTGCTTTTAAAATTTCCTCATTAAAGCACTTCAGTGTTCTGGTCAAGCATACGCTTAACACAGTTGTGCTGACTTAGAATATAAGGGTGATTCCTACAATCATTTTATTGTCAACTGCTTGATGAATCAAAACATTTTGTGAATATAAAAAATGTTGTTAAAAGTTTTTTAAAAAAATGACAATATTATCAAAAAACAGTAAATTTTGAGGTGGCTTTTCATTACTGCGTAGCAGTTCGTTCTGTTTTACTTTACGGCTGCGAAACGTTGCCATTAAGAGTTGAAGATATTCGTAAGCTATTTTGGTAGATGCAGGTTACTTGGTTGGTGTCCGTGTGACTATCGTAACGAATGGTTGGAGACTTTGTGTGAGATGGCTCAGAATCGGTCACAGTGGCGTAGGTGTATACACTCTCTGTGCATGAGATTAAAATGGCTTCATATCTTTATTTCTACAAACTAATTCTTCTTGTACTATATCCTTATATGCAATCTTTCTTTTATATATTACCACCACTACTTTTATGAATCCGGTGTTCTTGTTGTGCTAATGAGTTATGGCGACTTGAACCGGTGCATAGATGTGTCTGGTCCTACGTTGTAGCTGACTGACGATAACTTAATTAATATTCATAGTTATCACGGTAGTTGGGGTCTGAGAGATGGTGCTACACAGTGGCTAGAGACGTTATCAGATATGGCTCAGAATAGAAGCCAGTGGCGATCCTGCTGTAACCTTCTTTTACTTTCTTCATAAAAAGTGGTTGTGTCTCCCTTACCTGAAAGATTTCTTCTGATTGTACCTTTCCGTTCCCTCATTTTTACCATACTACGTTACACCAATCTCCTCGTTATTGTTCTCTTTTTTGCGCTCCTTAGCTTTTTTTTCTTTCTTTGTATTCCTCTCGAATTTTCATTGTGCTTTGTGTGGCGCATATATATTGGCGCTCTCTTGTACCAATATTCATGTGTCCAAATAAAATAAAATAATCACGGTAGTTCAGTTAATAAGCTCATCAATGAGACTTCTTTTTTATTAATTGTTGGATCCACGACTATTTCAGGTTAAGATTTTTGCCTATTAATTAAATTGATTCAAATAAATATTGCTTTTATCCCCGAAAATCTTTTGTCGTGTAGCGGAATCCCAAATTAAAGTCGCGAAAGATCTTTTATATGAACTTAAAATGAAGCTTCTAATTTCATTAAAGGTTTTAACTTAAATATGTTGAGTTTATTGCCTTTTTTCATTCATCAATTTGTGGAAAATTATCTTTACTCATCCAGTATAGTGTTCACATTCCAACTCCCCTAGCTGGATCCTCCGTACTCACCAACACAGTTAAAGCGCCGAACATTTACTTTTCTTCTGTCAATTTCGCAAACAGCACCCCAGCTGCGGGAAAGCAGTGAGTAGGATTTCCCTGGGAATGGTTGTATAAGCGTGGTCATGTGATAGCATTTGGAGAGGGAAAGCTGAATCTCCCCACCCTCTGTCGTACCATTTGCTATATATTGATATAATTTTTTACTTAAAAATGCATTATTTTATAACTTTTGCATTTGAAATTGGGGTATGTCACGACGAAGTTCAACTCTAAATAGTTGTATGTGTATGAGGGTATTTGTGTGCAAACATGTATGGGATGTTTATATTTACGGCTACCATGTAAAAGTTGATGTTTTCTTGCACATAGATTTTCACATTCGGAGCTTGTACAAAATAGGGTCCTACATCCAAAAAGACGTACGGTTATCTCTTATTTTATTTATTTTATTTGAACACATATATATTGGTACAGGAGTGCGCCAAATATATATGCGCCACACAATTTCAGTTCATTAATTGCGTGTGGGCTGCGACACTGCCCGGGTGCCCAGACCGAAGCAGGTGGTTATCTTAGGGGGCCACTCCTCGAGCCCTTGACCTAAAGGTCTAACCCACAAGGCAGTGGAGCATGGTAAGGAGATGCAATCCCATGGTAGCCGGTGACCGAAAATTGGTTCATACGCCATTTGTTCCCACAGGATACTGGTGCCCATGTGCACCATAGATTTGGAATCCGGTTAAAGCGCCGGACATTCGCTTTTCGTCCTCTCATTTTCGTAAACAACACCCCCGTCACGAGAAGGCAGTGAGTAGGACTTCTCTGGCAGAGGCTGTATACGCGCGGCCGTGTGAGAGTATTTCGAGAGGGAGGGCGAACCCACCCCGCTCTCGGTCATACCAGGGCGTTTGGGGGCACGGTTATCTCTACCTTCTACTCGTTTATCACTGTTTATTTAAGAGAGTTCGAGTGTTTTACATATATGTATATTAATAATATTAACGATAAGAAAGTATTCTTCAATTCAGGCTATCAATTATAGTGACTACTTTTCGATAGTTTCTCTGCTATCAACCGTACTAACCGCGAAAAAGAAGAAACCCGCTTTAACACTGATCTTAAGATTGTAGAGTTTATTTTCGAATAACAGATTCTGAATTTTTATCTTTACCCAGATAAAGCGTATACGTTATGCCATCATATTCTTTGTTACTCAGAGACGAGTTACTGTGAACATTTTAGTTCTATAGGCGTAAAGTTGCGCCAGCAGTTAATCAGTTGGTGGTTAATGTCTCTCACCATAATAGATGTTTCTTTGAAGAGTGTAATCACACTTCACATTTATTTATTTATTTGAACACAAAATAACATTTCACAAGCATGAAACTTATCTACTGTCTCCAAATATAAGTTGGAGGTTCAAATTCTACATCATTAATTCTGACTTTGGAAGTCGATTAGTGTCAGAAGCTCTCACAATTACTTAAAAATGTTTACTTTCAAATGAGCACTGTTAGTGGGATATAGATTGTATTAAAGTATGTTCCGTGCAGGATTGTGTTTGGGCACGCTGATTGTCTATTTCTTGACCAATCAGTGCTAGAAGATGCTTGGTGGAGACCATAGAATCTTATGTAAAAATTATATACTAACGTTTTTCTTATTGTAATTCCTACTTCCACCCACCCTAGTTATTTGGAATATAATTACGTTCCTGTTCAACCGTGTTCTGATTTGGGGACTTGCCGAGTAAATTAGTGTCCAAGATCACTAAGCAATAATAGCTGGGTCGTAATAAGAGAAATCATAACAAGCACCTTTTGGGAGCCATGACTTAAATCAAGTCGAACTATTACACACTAACACTCCTTGATGCACAAACACTTCATTAATCAACCTAATATTGTCGTTTATTTTTATGGATAACACAAATTTATCCAATGCAAAAATAATTATTTTCATATAAAATACGCACTATTTTTGTAAGCTATAATGTTTATCTAATTGTTAAATACCAGTATATTTTCTACATAGTAATGGGTACCTGTTCTTTCCATGACATCAGTATCTCTGGGTCATGATATTCCTATATTTCAAAATGACATAAATGTTGAACTAATCAAAGAGTTTGTAATGTTATATCATGTTCAGTTTTTTATTTTAAAATCAAATAACTTAATAGCTATGTTCTGACAGCATAAAACGGTTCAATTTTCAGTATATGTCAACATTTAAATTATATATATATATAAAGATTATGTTATACTGATCAGTAGAGTTAGATCGATCTTAATTTTTGTTGCTGATGTTGTGGCTTTTTAAAAATCTAAGCATTTTATGGTTTTACATCTTTCCATTAGTCCTTGGTACAGTATTTTAGGGTTTCTGTGATTAGTTATCAAATTTTTATGGGCTCGAACTGTTTTATATGTACCTTAATCTAAGTATCATGGTTAGTGTTTCCTACTCGGGATAACTTGACTCGTATTTAGTTAAGCAAAAAACTGTCATCATGTAAATTGAAATTTGGTTTTTCTTATTAACGGTATACTTTTTATCTTTTCCACCTAAAAATATGAATTTTTTCCTATAAACCAGTGATAGTATATTTGAATTTTAATGTTTAATTTGTTACAGTCAGGGCCTAAAATTTGAATTTTCTATATTCTTATCATCAGTTTAAATTATATCATTAGTCTTCAGTGTATTTATCTGTTGGGTTATGAGTAATTTGACTGTAAAAGTGTCACCTCACCACATCCTACTGGTTTCCTTCCCCGATAGTAAAGCCTTTTGAAACCTGGAAGTACCATATTAAGTAATTCTTATAGAATAGTTATGTGTGACCGGCCTTAAGTGGTTGTCTCTTGGTCCGCACTCCCAGGACTTCAAGATCACCTCTTACCCAGTCTCCCGCTCAAGTCCTTCAGGAAGAAATACCATTCCTCTGTGTGGACAAACGGAAAATGACAACCATTCTCTTACCTCTAATAACACTAGAGATAATCTTGGTAATGGTGAAATAAATCCCATCGTCACTTAATATTACTTCTATCGCCACTGTCAATACTTCTCCTATGATTTTATGTTTATCTTCAAGTGCCACCTATGCAATTATTTGAGTTCATGAGAAGTTATTTCTGGTCTTTTAAAACCTGATGTTGAAACTACATGTTGAGGCTGTCAGTGTTCGGATCTTATATAAAGTAGGCCAACAGGCTTCCTTATCTAGGACTTTGGGATCTCACACTATGGTTGTATATTTTGTCTCCGAAACACACAAACAGGATCAAAGTGTGGTCATTCACTTGAGTCCACCTAGTCAATGTAGTATGTCTTTACAATTTGCCCTCCGTGTATCCAGAAAGTTGACGACCAACTCCCATCGACTCTCTGATATATGTGTAGCCTCAAGTTCAAAAGCGAAACAGACTTCTTGACTGGATTGTATAGTCATTTGTTTTCTATTTGGTGAATACCTTGACAAAACTCAGGGTCTCTTGACCTCCTTAATCAATCAACAGTGCGAGTGTGTTTGTGATGCGTATCACTTCATCGTAACGCAAAATATTGCTTAAGGACTGGTTTCTGCCAACCTTGAGTTTGACAATAGCGAGTGAAATAGTGGATTGTGTCAACCACTTC